CTCCGGCCAACATAAAAGCTGGTTTGGAATAAGAAAGAACTTGAAAGCAGCAAGGCTCTTTATGGGTCTACCGTGGACCAACTTCTACCTAGAATTGTTCAGTTAGGAGCTAGTGAAGGCCTAAAGATGGAAAAGAGGGAACTGAATGGGTGTTCACTGACAGGTTCCTTCAACAAACATTTCTGGAGTGCCTCCCTGGGGATAGAATAAGGTACAAGGGTTTTAAAAGGCAATGTCACGATTTCCTGGTTTCCAGTTTCATTTTGAAGGTGAAGGGTATAGAATTGTTTGGCATACTTAATAGGTATTCAGCTGTGTGTGTGTGTGTGTGTGTGTGTGTGTGAGAGAGAGAGAGAGAGAGAGACAGAGAGAGACAGAGAGAGAGAGAGAGACAGAGACAGAGACAGAGAGACAGAGACAGAGACAGAGAGAGAGAGAGTGATGGGTGGATGGGTTGGTCGGTAGTGCCCTGGGAAGTGTAGAGGTTTGGGCCAAGGATATTGAGTTCCATTTTAGGCAGAATGGGTTAAAGATACTTTCAGAACATCCCCATGGAGAGCTCTAGTAGGCACCTGAAAATCTGGGTGTGGGCCCTGGACAATGGTGAATGCTGCAGTTATGTACTTGGGAGTTTTTGATGCATAATTGATAGCTGAAGTTGAGGACTTCGGTACAGTTGCCTAGAACTGTATAAAACATGAAGAAAAAGTAGGCAGAGCCCTGGGGACTACTGACAATGAAAGAACAGGTGGAAAAAAAGAAGCCAGGGTCGGGGACTGAGAGACTGAGGGAAACGTAAGGGAGAAAGCAGACAAAGGCAGCATCTCAGAAACCAGGTAAAGAAATGGTTAGAAAATAAACACACGCTTAAACATGTAATTGGTATTTAATAGTTTATTGCCTGGAAATGAAAAACGCATAGCATATTACTTGTAAAATAAGTCTGAAGAAGACTTATTTTTTCCAGACGTGCACACCCTTTAATATATGAGTATAGATTAGTCTAGCAAAATAACAACTGAGCTTACGATGTAAACAATATCATTGTTGTTTTGTGGAACTACTCCTCTCTCCTCTCCAGGGATAAATGAATTCTCTCAAATTTCTGCTCATCAGTCAAAATTTTACATTCAATTGAGTGTTCATTCTGAGTTTAAAATGATTCGGTGACTGTGAATGCTTAGAAAGTTGTGCTTTGGTAAATTGAAAATAATGTTTCTAAAGTGATGGGCTAATTTGAAATCTATATTCTTTTTCTTGTTTTGATTTTTGCAGCCTAAATTGTAAGATGTATTCCTCTGACTGTACCAGACAAAGTGTCCTCCTCCACTGGGGATATGGGGGGCTTCTAAAACCGTTCATTATGGGGCAGATGCTGGCACTCAGTAGGGCTCAGTGGATACTTATTGAATGAATGGAGGATGTCCTATTGTCCCTCCTAAATATTAATCCACATCTCAAAGGTGTCTGCATTCAACGAAATGAAAAAGAAAACATTTTGAAACTCATAACTGAGTAATTAAGGATTAAAACTACTGCTCGCTCTTTCTCTTTCTTGTGGGGACAGTATTGTGCACAGAAAGCTGCCCTCTGAAATCCCATTATAGCCGCTGACTCTGTAAAAGCTTCTTGGAGAAAATCTTTTCTAAAGAATAAGCAATAGAACGTGGCCTTCGAATTCCCAGAGACTTGTGTTTTTCAGATTATTCAATATCTAGATTTAGTTTATTCTCTCGACAAATGTTGATCATCTACTCTGTGCTAGGCACTGAGAAAATGCAGTGAATAAAACATTAGAAGATCCCATTGTCATGGAGCATACATTCTAGCTGGAGGAGACGGGCAATAACAAACAAGGTTAGGATGTGTGCCAGTGGTGATGAGGGCTAAGGACACAACTAGAGGAGGGAGAGTGGGTGGGGAGGGATGGGGATGCGGCTGCTTTAGGTGCGGTGGGTACAGAAGGACAGGTAAACTGAGACACGAGCTCAATTGCTTTCACCTTACAGCTCACCCTAACCAGCAAAGGGCTGGGGTGAGGGCAGCATATGTTTTGTGAATGCAAACATCAACCCAACCACAACCCCTTAGTCCTGTAAACATTATGATATATAATTTAGATAATAGCTGTTAAAAATCAACTCTTTGATTTTAATGGTAAGACAATATTTGCAGGTGACTTTAAAATAAAATGACTTCCATTATTCAAGAGTCCAGAACGGCAGTCAGCTCTTAGAAAATACTAGAATGACCTACTAGTGTTCCCTCTTTTTTTTTTTTATGGAGACATCTGCTCCCCTGCTGAGACCATGTATTATATCTAGTTTCACATCAAAATGAATTTTTGCTGCTAAGTTTGAAAACCGCCTGAAAATAGCAGTTAATATTGGAAAAGCTGACAGAACCTTAAGTTTACTGGCATGATTGGTGCTGCTGTAATTATGTGCCTGAGTGTATACATGTCTATGTAAACACAGTATGAAAACACACTTGATGTCCAGGACAGTGTTTCAGTGTGTTTTCTTGCAGCTAAATGAGGGGAAGAGAGAAGGAGAGGGAGTTGATAGAATTTTTATAGCACTGTTAGGTGGTGCAGATGCTCCTAGTCTTTCTTACATCTATATAAACTTGTTTCTCAAATTATTTTCATGTTCAATACCTCGTTTTACCCTCACAACTTGCTCGGGCTCGGGGGTGGAAGGCAAGGGAGGCTTTGTTTTTCCCACTTCATGGGTGAGAAAACTCAGTGGGTCAGCTAAGATAACTTGAGTTTCTTATCTGAAAAAATGAGGAGATTGGACTCACGTCATCTCCAAGGTCCCTTCTAGTTCAGCAGTTCTATGACATTATTTTTCTGATTTTCCTGAGGTGACACCGTGTTTTATGGTGGAGATCCCCTTTAAGTCCAGACCCCTTCCTGCCACACGGTTCCTTCTTCTTCAAACCCTTCACTGCATGTTTAATCATCTGTAAAATGTAACGTCTACCGTACAACATTGTTGCAAAAACTGTTGAGGGGATTAAAGGGAAGGCTTGTGAAGCCCCTAGCAAAGTGGTAGCTTTTATTATTTATTATTGTCATCACTATTACTAATGAGAAGGCAATGTCGTGTAGTGGAAAGAGCATTGGCATTGGAGTCAGGTCAGTTTCCACTCATTTACTGGTGTGTCATCTTGGCCAGCGATTCAACCTTTCTGAGCATTCTGTAACATGCAGCTGAGAATCTCTACCTTGTTGGGTTGTTTGAAGACTAAAGGAGAGGATGTATATAGAGCACTTATCCCAATGTCTGCCACGTCCCAGATGCTCAATAGACAGTTGGCAGGTATGAATGGTAAACCAATTTTCAAAAGAAACTGGGATAGGGACTTCCCTGGTGGCACAGTGGTTAAGAATCTGCCTGCCAATGGAGGGGACACGGGTTCAAGCCCTGGTCCGGGAAGATCCCACATGCTGTGGAGCAACGAAGCCCGTGTGCCACAACTACTGAGCCTGCACTCTAGAGCCCATGAGCCACAACTATTGAAGCCCGTGCGCCTAGAGCCCGTGCTCCGCAACAAGAGAAGCCACCGCAATGAGAAGCCCGTGCACTGCAACGAAGACCCAACACAGCCATAAATAAATAAAATAAATACATTTATTTAAAAAAAACAGGGATATATTTTCATGATTCCCTCAAAACCTGAAGTGGTATTTCATAGAGGTGAAGTATAACCCTGAAATTAACAGAAGCATACAGTCATCTTTTAAACAAATAAAAGGAAAAAGAAGATTCTGAAGTTTAGTCATTCTGTGCACATCTACAAGGGAGAAGAAAAACTCACATGCACCTAGTAGTTAGCAAATGGTTGCTGTAGAGTTTCATGCCAGAGAGTCTTCTGAAATCCAGTATATACTTTATTCAAGTCCTCCCACTCTCCCCACTACAACAATCTGATAAGGTTGTGCAGTTTATTTAGAAAAGCTCGATTGCCCTGATTTTACCACTTCCTTTGAAAAGTAATCACTTGAGGGGACTTCTCTGGTGGTGCAGTGGTTAAGAATCTGCCTGCCAATGCAGGGGACACGGGTTCGAGCCCTGGTCCGGGAAGATTCCACATGCCGCGGAGCAACTAAGCCCGTGTGCCACAACTACTGAGCCTGCACTCTAGAGCCCGTGAGCCACAACTACTGAGCCCGCGTGCCACAACTGCTGAAGACCACGTGCCTAGAGTGCGTGCTTCGCAATGAGAAGCCCGTGCACCGCAATGAAGAGTAGCCTCCGCTCGCCGCAACTAGAGAAAGCCCGTGTGCAGCAACTAAGACCCAAATGCAGCCATAAATAAATAAATAAATAAATAAAAATTTTTTTTAAAAAAGTAATCACTTGAATAACTTTGAGGAACTGTTTTACCATAATGATGACGCTTATGAAGGATTCAATGAAGTTGGAAATCAAGATCCTGTAGCTCTGTCTCTGGCAGCATGGTCACAGAAAAGGCTGGTGGCAGAACTGAAATGCATTGTGGTTACTTATCTCTGTGGAGGATTTCTTGGTACTGAATTTCCAGGGCACAATAAACTAACATTTACAGGCATCTGTGGCCACATGCTCTGGAGCTGTGTTGCAGATGTGTCGGCAGCTGCTAAGGAGTCGCAAGGTGGGTGGCACTGCCCTGGACCCATTATTCTAAAATCTAGTTGATGGTTTAAACCAGTGGACCCAAGAGAGGTATGTATTGTACAGAAAACCAGCGTTGAGTTCCATGTTGTTTATTACATGCATTGTTTGAAAATGATAAAACATAGCAACTCACCATTTAAATGACTTTTTTTTTCTTATTTGATGTATATCTGTCCTTGAAATTATTCTCACTGTGGATGCCCATGCTGTGTGGACGTCTAAAGACAAATGAGTTTTCTACCTGAGAGCAGTACAATTAAATGCTTTGACTAATGTCTGTTATGTTTGGTTGCCTTCCCATTTTAAAATGTGTGAATTTCCTTTTTAACGTTCTAGGGGAAAGCAATGGTATTCGCCCCACGCCGAGGGAATACTTTAAACCAGTTTTGCAATCTAGCTGAAAAAGCTGGTTTCTCTATCCAAAGACATGAAAATTATGATGAACACATTTCAAACTTCCACTCCAAGGTTAGTTTTCTGCTTGTGTTAGATAACACTTTAATCCGCATTGCATTTTGAAGAGATCATGGTCTTTTTGGCAGGTAACCTAAATATTTGATTAAAGGACTCCTTAGGTGTGCTGCTTCTGAACAGCTATTTGTATCTGATTATTTTGTGTGGCAAAGCCATCTTTTATCTTTGCATGTCTAGAAGGATTGTACAGAAACCATTCCTGTTTACTCCTTTCTCTGAAACTAACTAATCTCTTCATTCATAATAGACTAATTTGTAGGATACAGGGGAGGTGGCCTAGAATGAATGATAAACAAGCATTTATATTTTAATGAAAAACCTTCAGCTTTTAAGTAGGTTAAATGCTTAGCTGCACTGAAATAAATAGAAGGTGAATGTCTAATTGTATCATGTTAGACTGTAAATCTTTATCTCTGCTTGCTTTATGGCTGGGTCAGTTGGCAGTTTGAGACTGTGAAATCTCACAGAATGTCACAGTTGTGGGGTTATATGTCAGATCGAGGCGCTACAAGATTTAGGTCAAAAGCACTTATCTGAGAGTGATTCTAAGCTTGCTTACATAAAGCAATGTTATCAGCCTTTTTATTATTTATAGGTATAGAGCAATATAGGACACTGAGAGGCCAGTGTTCCACCGAAAACTTTTTAGGAATCTCACGTTTGCTAATACATATCACAGTTACTAGAATAACATGTACTTCTTCTGTAATTTTGTGCGGTACAGAAAGGTCCCTTCTCTGAGCTAGTCTGACCTTGGCAACAGACTTTGACTTGTCAATTTTCCAAGTCGTGACCACAGAAAAGTAAAGCCTTGACCTTATTTTTCTCCTGGGAAAATGTGAATAGCATTCTTTATTACCCAGGACTATGATATAATGTAGAAGTGTGTTGACTTTTGAAAAATTATATGCAAAGTGGATCTGATCTTCTAAGCAATAAAAAGGAAATCTTCACTTTCTGGAAATGGGTTCATTTCTTTGGGTCTCCAGGTCTCCATTTAAGCTCGTGGGGGGAAAAAAAAATGATGCTTTGTGAACTGAAAGGGTTAAATCACTTCCTCTCACTGGTGGAATCGGGCCC